GTAGTAGTAGTAGTAGTAGTAGTAGTAGTAGTAGTAGTAGTAGTAGTAGTAGTGGAAAGATGAATGCATCGATGTTTAGTCTGCTTTTCTTAATAGTGTGCAATAAACCTTTGCTTCTTCTTTAATTTGGCATATAATTACTATTACAATGTGCATCTATCGATGACAGGTCCTTTTTTTTATGACATTCTGAAGTTGAAATTTTGTCGTTATTTTTTAAATATCTTTGGCGAAACATGTGACAATTGATTCTCGGCCATTTCTGAGACCATATTTAGCTGTCCCCATGGTTTTATGCACCCCGCATAATTTAGCAAAATTTGACCCTTTTTTTGCATTATTTCGGATTGTTTTCCTTTATCATTCTTTGTTAAAATTAACAGAATCGCATAATTTCATATTTTTGGGCTCAGTTTGCATTAATTCCAGAATTTTTGGTGCACAAAACGACGGGGACAGATTTAGATCATTTTGAATTGTCAGACTTAATATGTCTATGACTATGAGCAAAGTTGGTTTACGTGTGAGCTGTCTCTGAAAATCGTGTTTTTCATTCGCGATGTAGCCTACACAAAAATATAACATTTTAAACATTCATAATTTATTTCCGCAAATACCATCTATTGCAATATATTTGGTACAAAAATGCTCAGAATTAAAAGTTCTTATGATATTTGGATTATTTTTTCACTTAAATCCACTATGAAAACTCAGTGTTATAGGCCTACTTGTGTCCTGCATGCTCATAAGAATGGCTTTATGCTGTTGCGAGCACCATAAAACCCATACCAAAACGAAGACGGAGGAAATGAGGGATGAGAACAGAAAATAAAGGAAAAGATGAGATAAGATAATACGTTATTTCTTTCTCCCAGACGTTCGGGTTTTAATCAGATCCTGGCCTGGTTTGTCCTCTAGTTTTCTGGTTTATTTCTCGTTTGCATTCATTCAGTGTCCTGACAGGATACCACGAGCCCCGCATTCATACTGACTGACGTAGGTCTCTATCTGTGTCCAGTTGAACTAAACATAACAAAAATATATATTATAAGATAAAGTGATAACCCTTGCAGATATAATGAGTTGATCAATGTTCTTTTACTTTTATTATGATAAAACTGTGCAACGAGGAACAGAAAATCAAAGACAGACACAAAATCAATCACAGGAAAAGATCATGATTAAACACTGCATTTTATTGATTGATTCTTTGAGAGAAATTACCTGTGTGGTGTCACTAATACGAATGGTGTAACCTGAAGAAAGACGAAATCGCCTCTTTCAGCCGTGTGACGAGTATTAACACGTTGTACTTGATGAAAGGTCAATTTCTGTTAAAGTCTCTTAAAATAACACACGTGAACTCAAAACAGTGATACAATATGCATGCTTGCCATGGTTGCAATACAACAGAAACGAGACATCAAAGGAACAGTAGGTCTTTCTCCACCTCGAACAAGGTGCAACAGCGTATACTTTTGATAGTGAGGCAGCATGGTGGAATCAGGCTCTCGTCAAAATAATCAAAGTGAAGAAACTTGCTTTTTTCTGTTGATTTGTGAATTGTTATCTAATTTTTGTTTTTTGGGTCAACACCTTTCTTGCCCATTAAAGAACTCATTTCTGTTTGGATTTTTCTGAAAAATGTTTGTTAAAGGCACAAAGGATGTAAATTTTCAGTTACCACGGACTCTTAATCTTAGTAAATAACTAATCTTTGGCGGCCATTTTCTCACTATTTTACATATGAAAACAGGTGACCCCCACCTCCTTCATTCGCAAATATCATGACTTGTATTCAAGATCAACGGATATTTTTTTCATCCAAATAAACACAAATGAACAAGCTTTACGATGATACCAATAACTCTACATGCCCAAAAATTGACCAGAGCCTGATTCCACCACCTCTCTCTCTCTCTCTCTCTCTCTCTCTCTCTCTCTCTCTCTCTCTCTCTCTCTCTCTCTTATGCAATGTCAAACAAACAGATGCAAATGTTTCAAAGCAAAGCTCAAATGTAATAGTCGATGCCACCAAAGTCTCAACTGCTAAAACAAATGAGCTCATGTAAATGAACATTCTATATTTAATTATCACTTTTTATTATTAAATTTGTTTTTATTAAACGGGATGAATTAATTACCGCATACATCCACTGTCATTTACTATACATCAGTCATTCCGCCATTTTGGTTTTTTTCCGATGGTAGTCATTCCTAGGAAATGCCTGACTGCCTATTTCAGTCATTCTCTGAAAATGACAAAAATTTTAAGGCATTCCTCGAAATGCCCGATCAAAACAGGAATGCCTTGGGAATGGCTGATTTTTCAGGCATTTCCTGAGAATGACTAGTTTCTGGGTTTGACTGTAACACATATAATATAT